TTCATCTTGGTTCTTTCTATCCAAGGGAAAGTAACTATCATGCAATATAAGAACCTTTCTTATTTAAGATACTTGTGAAATGTTAAGAGAAATTATGCCACTATTATTTCAAACTTGCAAATACACAGCATGTTCATTATTAGCTCTTCATCTGCAATAAGTAAGCCCAGAACTAAAAATAGCAGACAAATAAATGAACCGTTGAGATCCTGGTGAGTTTTTCTCCATTTCCTCTCAGAAATGGCTCTCTCAGCAGGGAGGCTGTACTCAGAAAGCTTCAAAATCATTAAGTTCTTAAGCACCTATTCTTCCTTCAAGCATTCTTCTTCTTCTAATCATTTGTCCAAACCATTAGACCAAAAGCATCTCACAGGTTAAAATTGCTTAACATGAGAGGTTAAGTGGTTTACTGAAGCCTGAATTCTTACTCTCCTTGCATATTTGGCTCATAACGTATAAGGAGAAAGGAGAGCAGGAGGCATGAAAGAGGGGGAAGAAAAGCATTCCAGGATTCCTGCTGCAGAAGTGGCCTTCAGATCAGATAGCTTGGTCCATTTTTTTTTTACAAGGGACAGAGGCTGGGGGCCAACTTAGCCACAGAGATAGTTAACAGTGAGTCATGGCTGGACCTCAAACCTCCTGCCGCCTACCCATCACAGGGCCCTGAGGAGAAATGGGTGACTGCAGAAACAGGAATTTGGTAGGATTTAAAGATGAGAAACTGAAATTTCATCACCATGCAACACAGCACCACTTAAGTGGAAATTCTGAGGTCTGAGAGCCTGCCTCCAAAGCCTATTCAGCCCTCACTCCCTTACCGAGCTCTCCAAGCCTGGACAAAGGGAATAATCTTTTGTGATAGTTAATGTCTATTGGGCCCTTATTGTATTCTAGGCACTGAAGACACTAACACCTTACACACTCTGTATGTATTAGCTTATAGAGTCGACCCCATAAATATCAAGGTTTGATTCAGATAGCATTAGAGCCTAACTTCAGAGAGTTCTCAACGCAGTATTAATAATGCAGATCAATAATTAAATAATATAAATATTAAATAATTAATAGCATAAAAATTAGTACACTTGTGTAAATGTATTTTAATCATTGATGTCATCAAATGAACTCTTCAATTATAATGAATAATGAAGTTTTTAAACAGTATGTTAGTCAGTTTTTCATTTTGTGACCAAAAATACCTGAGGAAAACCATCTAAAGAAGGAAAGGCTTACTTTGGTTCACAGTTTCAGCGGTTTCAGTCCATAGTCTGCTGGCTCTGTTGTTTCTGGGCCTGTGGGGATGCAGACAACCTGGAGGAAGGGCCTGGCAAAGCAAAGCTACTCGCCTCAAGGTGGCTGGAAAGCAGAGAGAAGGAGAAAGAGGCCCAGGACAAGATACACCCTTTAGTGGCCCTCAGTGACCTACTTCCTCCAATTAGATCCCACTGCCTGCAGTTTCCATCACCTCCCAATAATGAATTCAATTATGGACCCATCATTGGATTAATCCATTGGCGAGGGCAGAGCCTTCGTGATCCAATCACTTCCCCAGAGCCTCACTTCTGGACACCGCTGCACTGGGGATATAGTTCAATGGTAGACAGGCCCTCAACACGTGAGCCTTTGGTGGACATTCCAAATCCAAACTAGAGTGAATCAACACTTTTACCACACAAAGAGGTCTCCTCAAAATATTTCTTCCTAAGCTTTGAAGATTCAAGTTTTATTTTAAATTCCATTTTCTTCCCCTGCCATTTCTATTTCCTCTAAAGGAAAGACACATCTTAGGGAAAATATTCAGCATCTTCAGGATGTGGAATATGCCATTGAAAAGTCTTTCTAGAAAAGTCTTTCTAAAGTTTTCCATTGAGTGAGTAGGCATATAAAACACCTTTCCCTTACTGTAAGGATAGAACAAAGCAAGGCATTTGTGTATATTTGGTTAATTTTAAAAAAATAAGTTCAAAAAATAAATGTTTTTAGTGTAAAAGACTCCATAGATTAATCTTTCTGCAATGATTTCCCTGTGTTACAGAAGTGAAATGCAGGAGAAACCCAGTAGGTAGTCTGCTCTCCTTTCAGCCAAACTCCTCACCAGACAGCCCCTTCCTCAGTTTCAGGAATCTCAAGGTGGAAGGTGGCAGGCTGGTGACTTTTGGTGCCTGCCCCTCTGCCTTTCTGTGTTTCATTAAGAAAATGTGGTGAGCCAGCTCATCATTTTTCTGAAAGATCCAAGTGAATTGACATTGAACTCTGTCCAGCTCCTCAGGTTTGCCTAGGACAAGAATAAATCATTTGCTATTGTGGCCGCTGCTTTTTCTGTTGACATACTTTGTTGTAACCATAAATATGAACCCTGAACGTATGAGAATATAGACCAGGTCCAGGGACTAATTTTTGAGGAGTGAGCTTTGAAATGACTAAGAAGTGATTCTGAGCTGGGCATGGTGGCACACCTCTGTAATCCCAGCAATTTGGGAGCTTGAGGCAGAAGAATCACAAGTTTGAGGCCAGCCTTAGCAACTTAACGAGACCCTGTCTCAAAAAAATAAAAAGGTTGGGGATTTAGTTCAGTGGTAGAGCAACCCTGGGTTCAATCCCCAGTACAAAACACATACAAGACAAAGAAGTGCTTCTGGTTAGAAGGTGTGGTGTAACAATTAAATATTAATGTAAAAAAATACATGAAAGAAAATTTGCAATTCCTAGCACATTGTAATCTTGCAAAAATAGTAGATGCAACTCTTAATACTACAAAATGAATAAGTGAAATTACTCCACACACAAGAATATTTGCTAAAGAAAATTTGCCTTTATATAACTGATATAATTTCAATCCAGTAATTTTTCAGACAGAAGGCATCTAATTATCTGTCATTCTTTCAAATAGTAGCAATAAAAACCATTGTCTCAGAGAATAACCTGCCATCTGCAAGGATCAGTATTTTATGTGTAGCAGTTCAATGAATACCCACAATGTGTCCAACCTTGTGGGTACTGTGGTCCCCATTTACAGATGTAGAAATTAAGGCTCAGATTTTAACTCAGCTGCCCAAGCCCATCCTGCTTCTCACGACCAAGGCAGGATTTCAGCCCAGTGGGATCCCTGATGCCCACGCTCCTGAACTCTATCCTATGCTGGAAATAAATGTGAATGTCAGTGTGGGGGTGGAGTAAGCTGCACAGTTTAAATGAAGGTAAACCACTAAGTCTCATTGTCCTATTTATAGGTCATCTATAAAAACTTAAAGGGAGCAATTTTACGGGTGTCCTGCAAGATTTTATAGGTTCTCACAAGGGTTCTATATATAGCACAATAGCATATCATGGGTTAATCTAAGGCCATGGTTCTCAAGCTGTTGAGCTCAAAACTATTTTGCCCTGCAAAAAAAAATGATGAGGGACCTCATGAAGCTTTTGTTTACATGAATCATGCTCATTGATATTTTTTATATGACAAATTAAAGTGAAGAAATATTTTTTATTTATTTCAAAAGCAATAAACACAGGCCAACATACATAACATATTTTATGCAAAATATCTATTTTTGAAAACAAAGCCTTGAGTGAGGATAGAGAGTCAGTCAGGTGTCTGTAAGTCTCCTTCATGACCTCCTGCAGGGAAGACAGCTGAGTCAGCATTAAGGTTCTGCTCCACATTCATTCTGTCCTGCCACCACCAGCGGTCACACAGCCACCAAGAAATGCCACTGAAGACTCAGGAGGCAGAGTTAAAATAGTAAATAATGCCTTAGTGTTCTGAGGTGAAACCTCTAGAGGACTGAGGAGTTCTACTGCCAACTTTAGTCCACAGTATAACAAAGTCATCACTCGATTGCCCCTTGTCCCCAAAGTACCTCAAGAGAGATGAAAAATTGTCATTGTGAAGTAACGATAAGCATCAAGTAGGAAAAGCTTTACAAGTAATATCATAGGTCCAAAACCAAGATGTTAAAGAAATAAGTTAACTCTATTCAAAGACCAAAACTAGTATATTTCTATCTTTGCAGAATAAATGAATAGAATCCTTTGTTGTAAAAATGAAATGTAGTTGAAGTGTCATTCTATCTTATTAGCATTAACCAAACTGATCAAATATTATGTTGTTAAGGGAAGGTAGTAGTGAAATATCATTAGACACATAACCTCATAAACATGAAATCTCCAGGATAGACTGGGAATCTTGGATAAGATGACAGAGAGACACTTTATGCAACGTTTGGAAACTGGTAGAACACATTAGAAGTCGAATCATTTGCTTATTTATGTGACTTCATCTAAAAAAATATTTTGGCTCTGAAATATGCCTTTTCCTCCTTATTTTAAAAGCCAGGTCGTAAAACAAGGTATTTATAAGTTATTTTTGATTTTTTTAATTCATATATTCAACTTTGTGTTTACCATACCACTTCAAAATGAAAAATGGTTATCTCAAAGCAATTGAGTTACTCCTAATGATGTTTAGCTTAACATAATGTCCTAGGTGCTCCAGAGAGCTGTGCCCTGTTTCACAAGTGTGTTAGCAGAGTTAAAGAACCAAAGAATCAATGTTTCACCACAAGGGAAAACAATCTATTTTTTAAAATATAAAATATATTTGAATTGTGAAAGAACACTAACACTAAAGGAAATATTTCCCTCATTGCCAACTTGGCCATATCTCAAAACAATCATCTGATTGCATATTATGGGAAGATCACACCTACAATGAAGTTTCCAGATGTTGGATTTGATAAGAGGAGGAATTAGTGTCAGCATCAATGGATTCCTCTTATGCCAATTTCCAGGGCAATATTTTACATTTTCTAGTAGTACTATTTTCCCACAGTGTATTTTTGTTTTGTTTTGTTTTCTTTTTGTTTTCCCTAATGTCCAGGTACTGTAAAACACAAACAGCATACAAACAAAACCCACCTACATGGGGTTTTTGGAAGAGAGCTGCTTGTTTAAGTAGAAATCCTTGCCAAATAAGCACTGAGTAGTTGTCTGGGTTCCCCCAGGTCCTCCGCAGCAATAGCTTGCTCGAGTCCACAGACTACTGGTTGCAGAATCAGACGACGCCCTGCCAGATTGGTTTTGTGGAAGACAAGTCTGAAAACTGTGCTTCTGTAAGTATCCAGAACTCTCGGGAATGTCGTGGATAAAACAGGGAAATGGCACATGCATCCTTGCTTGAGATAGAAGTGTTGTAATTTATAAAACATAAGTTTGGAAAAGTGTCCTTTTGAAAATACAAAATTAGTTTGTATGGTTTGTCAACAAAAGGACATAGAAAGCTAATGCTTCTACCTCAAACTTGCTCATTTCAACGGGTAAACTCATCTGATCAATTCTCCAAGGGAGAAAAATTTTTTTCCAAGAGAAAAAAGTGTTTACATTTTCAAAAGCAACTGAGAAAAAGGTTCAGAAATAGATTTATAGAATGACAAATAAAAGCTATTCAATAGTGCTCTAAGATTCTTTTTAATTTATTTTATAACCCTGACCAGTAGGTATGTTCCAATGTAAATATTATGTAAAATTTTCCCACCACGCTTGAGTTATAGTTATAACTTGAAAACTCAACCTAAGAAATAAAGAGGCATGCATTTTAATACACTGTAGCTGTGCTTGACATACAAAACCTTTCTTTGCCGGATCAACAATAATAATTCCTACAGCTTAGAATGCAAATGCATACTGTTGATATGAAATAGGCTCCTTCCCATATGCTCCATGAAACTATATTTTTCATTTTTATTGAACTCATCCAGCTCTTATGGGGTCATGATTATAGAGATGGGAAAGCGTGTTTTCAAAAAGGAGAGAAATATAATGTAATTCTCCTGACTAAATTGAGAGCATCAGCTCTGAGCTATTCCTGGAGGTAAGTTGTATGCCAGCATTTCTGTTAAAAGGGAAAAGCAGAAAATGGGATGGGAGGCTTTTTATATACTGAGCAGACCAGAACCGGCAGACAGAGGATGTAAAACGCCTCACACAGCAGGCTCTCATAGCCCAAGGAATGCACAGTTCACTGTCGCTCATCAGTATATCTTTCTTTAGGCAAATGGTTGGGAATCTTCACCTTTTAGTACATTTGGTTGCTTGTCCAGAAAACTAGTTGCTGGCTAAAAATCTCTGGGGAAAACAAGAAAGGATTAAGGGGCAAGTAATTTGACACTAGTACCTCCTTTGCAAAGTCAATTCTGAAGTGAGCTGGAAAGTACAGGCAATTGCTGTTTCTGATGTGCAATTAAACAGGTATCAAAGGTAAAAGAGAGAAATACAGAGTACAAGCTGTTAGGGGCCACACATTGGTCAAAGTTGTCATCCGAACAGTTCCAGTATCACACGGTTTTTCCACTTGGAGAACACACAGAACTTGGGACACTAAAAATGGTGTAATGAAGGGCTAAGAGGTCTTCTCTGAACTTCCTATTTGGGGAGTCTGTGTTGTAGGTCTATAATTAGAAATGCTAGCTAATTTCTAGTTGAATTTAAAGATTACCATTGTATTATCCTATATTCAAAAAAACTCCTCCCACTCCCTCAACAAACCCAGTATACTTAAATTTGGGCTTAAAACTGTGACCTCCTTTCTTTATTCTTTTTTTCTTTCTAGTATCAGATGACTTCGGGGAGATTGAGCTGATTCATCCTGCCTTTAAGGTTCTTCTTATTCTTCCCCCAAGGGGAAAATCCTAAACACAAGTAAAAGGCATAATATTAGATCATTTGCTCCCCCTCAAGAAATTTTAATAATTAAAACTGACACAAAAATCAAAACTTGTCCATAATTCTATATTCAAGAGAAATCTCCGCCCCCCCCCAAAAAAAAACAGCCCTAATCTCTCATAAAGTATCCTGTAGTCAATTTTTCTTAATTTTGAGGTCTTTCCTCTTTCTGGCTTGGCAAATATATGTAGGTGGGGAGGATAAATCAGAGACCAGAGTTGCATAGTGCTAAGGAGTAACTGTCACCTACAAGAGAAACACAGACCAAGTCTAGAGGTGCTGGACCAGGTCAAGGAGCTCTTCAGCAAAAGAGCCACATAGGAGTCTCCAGACGGACAGGGAGAAAGTACTTAATTCCCTCTTAAAACCCACTTTGCAAAATGTTCGACATCTCTAGTAATTAGAGAAATGCAAATCAAAACTACTCTAAGATTTCATTTCAATCCAGTCAGAATGGCAGTTATCAAGAATACAAGCAACAATAAGTGTTGGTGAGGATGTGGGGAAAGGCACACTCATACATTGCTGGTGGGACTGCAAATTGTTGCAACCAATCTGGAAAGCAGTATGAAGATTCCTTAGAAAACTTGGAATGGAACCACCATTTGACCCACTATTCTACTCCTCAGTCTATATCCTAAAGACCTAAAAACAGCACACTACAGTAACGCAGCCACTTCAATGTTTATAGCAGCACAATTCACAATTGCTAAACTGTGGAACCAACCTATATGCCCTTCAACAGATGAATGGATAAAGAAACTGTGGTACATATACACAATGGAATATTACTCAGCATTAAAAGAGAAGAAAATTATGGCTTTTGCAGGTAAATGGATAGAGTTGGAGAATATCATGCTAAGCAAAATAAGCCAATCTCTAAAAATCAGGGGCTGAATGTTTTCTCTGTTAAGTGGATGCTAGTCCATACGGGGGAGGGGGCATGGGATAAGTGGAGGAACTTTGGATGAGGCAAAGGGGAAGGGGAGCAGGTGGCAAAGGGGTAAGAAAGATGGTGGAATGAGACGGTCATCATTACCCTAGTTACATGTATAATTACAGGAATGGTATGACTTGACTTCATGCACATCCAGAGAAGTGAAAAATTCTGCTCCATTTGTATACAATGAATCAAAGATCTTTCTATTGTCATGTATACCTGATTAGTACTAATTAAAAAAGAAAAAAACATTTTCCATATAACCATGAAAATGAAAGTGTAATTGAGACAGGGAGAGGGTATCTTCGTTTAAAAAAAATCTTCATTAAAGTTTAATTCTTAAAAAAAAATAGCTTATGAAATCATCCCAAACCTGAATCTATTTGTACATAATCACAGCAGAGTCTGAGGGGCTGAGTAATACTGTCCTGTGTTGTCCTGTTTTGCAATCTGTTCATAGTTCTGGGGAATCCTACTCTAAGTCTGTTGTTGCTTTATAAACTCTTTTCTTCCTGACCAAAATTAGTAATTACATTTTCATATTTAGTGTAAGTTAGTTTGGTGTTTGTTACACTAGATTTAAGGTTTTTAGATCTGTGGCTTCTTAAAACTAAGTACCTCAGTGTCCTCATGGTTTCTAAATTTAAGATATCTATTTGAAATTTATTGGGGTGGGGGACAACCTCTGGCTTGGAAGACATTCAGGGGGTTGTGTACACATCTCAATATGGCAGTTTGTTTTCAAGAGCCAGACTGTGGATTCTAGTTATTTCTTCAGTGGGTGACCTTGTCCATTTACAGGTAATGAGAGAAGTCTTAGCCAAGAGTGGTTTGAAGGAGTCAGGAATGTAACAGGCACCTCAAACAGAGCCAATGGCCCACAAGCTCCTGAAGTCACCTCCAATGGCTTTTCAAAAGGTGTTATGATTTTCCTAAATAGAATTCTCTTATCAAACTTAGACTTTTACTTTTTGCTAATTTGACATTCTGAAAAGAATATTCATATATTAACCTGGTAGTTAGTATATGAATACTAACTATTCATATACTAATGAATATTAGTTTTGCAACCTGGTCATTTAAAAGAGAGGGACTGTGTAGGAGAACAATGGAATTCTAAGCCATTCTCCAAAATTCAACAGCTAAGACATTATCTCAACAGAGGTCCTTAACAGAGGAACTGGATTTTTTATAATACCTTACTCTTTAAGTTACATTAGTCCTTATTAATCATCTATTGTTTTTGGCTATTCACTGGAAATTAAGTTTTGACTTTTCAGGAATCACCTTTTGGTTCAATACTTCATTAGCATCACCACATCATAAAAGTTATTATTACTCATGTAATTTCTGTTCACCCTTTTTCCGTAATAACCATTGTAAGACTCAAGCTATGTCCTCTTCATTGTATACACTTTAATTGATGAATCACGGTATTTTAAAATGTGTTATGTTTGCCTTAAATGTACAAATAAGTTGAGTTCTCAAGTGGCCTTCAGCAGACTACCCATGGTATTGCAAAACTAAGATGCCTGTCAGGTGTTCTATAGGTCTCACGTTCTGAAGCAGTCCAGGAGCAAAAATTTAAAAAAAAAATCTCAGATGAACGTATTTAAATTTAATTATTTCTCCAAGTATATCTATATATATTCTGAAACTTTTAAAAAAAAAAGTAAGAAAGAGACAAATACCCCACTTAGGTTTTTCTGTGGAAAAATCTAGACTCATGTGATCAAGGAAATACATAACTGTAAAATAGAGAAGTTTTTCTTTTTTCTTTTTTCTGTTTTGAGACAGGGTCTCTATAAATTGCTGTGAGGTCTTACTAAATTGCTGAGGCTGGCCTTGAAATTGCAATCCTCCTGCCTCAGGCTGCCTAGTGACTGGGATTACAGGAGTGTACCACCACAGGATGTTTATTTTTCCTTTAAAACATCAAATCTATCTTTTTTTTCTTTTCAATTTAAAGAGCACTAAGCATGTCTTAAAAATGGTGGCAGAATGGCTGAGCCAAGCCAAAGATCTGTGCTTGAGTGGACCCGTTCAACTTAGGAAGCAGTTTAAGCAAACATCCAGGGTCACTTGAGTAGGTTGGCTCTCAGAAAAAAGGGGTGCAAGAGAGCTCTCAGTCCCAACACCTAGATTATCCTGCCAGCTTCACCCAGTAACACTCTCCAAGAGAAAAGCTCCAGTAGGCTCTATTTCTTTAATTCTGACAAATTTGCAGGGGTTTGAATATCCAATACTGTTGGAAGAGTCTAGACAGGAGCTATTTAAAATCTAGCTCTCAAAGTGATAAAGCAAGACAGCCTCAGAGAAGTAGAGCAGGAGACCTACAACCTGTCCATGTGGCCTTGCTCACCTCACCTTGTGCATGACCCATGGCCCCTCAGAAAACCCAAGAGTCTTAGGGAAAACATTTTAACCTGACTTTTAATCAAAAGAAATTTC